GCTGTACCTGCCCTCCCCCGTGGTGCCGGCGTCGGTGCATGGAGAGATCCTTCGTGTCCTGCAGGGTAAGGGCCTCCCCTGGCCCCGCTTGGGAACGGGTGGGTGGTCAGGACGGACACGTTTTGGGGTATTAAAATAAGTCCTGTCCCTATGGGGTCTGGCTCACGGCCCCTGCTGGTGACAGTGCTCCCACGCTGTGACGCAGCCACAGCATGGAGAGCGGTGCCGGGCTGTCCCAGCCCTTCCATCGTGTCTTGTTCTCTCCCCAGAGATCCCCCAGCCGGAGAATTGTCGGAAGCAGCTGCTGCTGGCCCTGGAGTCGCCTGCGGTCCCGCTCCAGAACACGCTCACCCTGCAGTTCCTGCTCCGGCACCTGGGGAAGGTATCACAGCAGGCCGAGAGCAACAGCCTCCACCCTCGGGCCCTGGGAGAGATCTTCGGCCCCCTTCTCCTCCGGCTGCCTGGCAGCAGGTATGTGAGGCTTTCGGGTTGCAGCCATGTGCTGAGTGTCGGCAGGACAAGGAGTCCAGCCTGTGACAGCGGGTCTGCCCTGTAACAACCCCTGCCTCGCTGCACGTGGGATTAAACTGCTGGCAGCACACAGAGGTGGGACTCAGAGCCAGGGCAGAGCCCTTGCTTCTGGGTCAGCCTGGGATCTGGCAGCTGGGATGAAACAGCTGACCCTGGCTGCCTCTTTGCCTGGGGGGCACAGGAGCAGAGCCAAGTTCTCCCCCACAACCACTTTTCTTACTTGGCTCCTCTCTCCCTGCAGCCCAGAGCTGAGCCCTGACTTCTCCGTGCTGTTTTTGGAGATACTTCTGCAGACGAAGGAGTTGGAGCCAGAACAGTTGCCTCCAGGTACTGAGATGCCCTTTCCTTGGGGCCTGAGGCACTGCTGTTTGTGCTCCATGGGGTCTCTGCCCCCGTGAGCAGGTTGCCAAGGGCATTTCTCTGGCCCAGCTGTGCCTGGAGGCCGGCTCGAGGTGTTCATCTGCTGCTGTAGATGTGCCTGGAGGAGCTCCTGGCAGCATGATGGCCAAGGGGGCTTCCCAGGGCAGTCACTGCAGGGTGGGGGTCCCAACTCTCCAAGGGATTAACCATGGGGAGCTGGGATTTGGGCTCACCCTGCTTCAACCCTCCTTCTCTTACAGCCTTGCCTCCAAAACCACCTAAGCCAAAGCCCAGTGCAGCCAGCCTGGCCAACGGGAACAGCGTGCCCTTGCAGGACGCCGAGTGGTACTGGGGTGACATTTCCCGGTAAGGGGGTGATGGGCAGCTCATGTCCTAGATGTCCTGTCTGTCGAGTTATCTAGAGGAGCTCTGGTTGCACCTCACAGGCCATGACAATCACGTTCCTTGCAGGGAGGAGGTGAACGAGAAGCTACGGGACACGCCGGATGGTACCTTCTTGGTGCGTGATGCCTCCAGCAAGATTCAGGGGGAGTACACGCTCACGCTCAGGTAGGGCGCTGGGGTCCCCCGAGAGCTTCCACTGCTCTGGGCTGGAGCTGTCGGCATGTGTCCCTCTGCTCCCTGGGTGCTGAGACATCGGGCTGGTGTAGGTGCTGGGGTGGTGATAAGTGCCCTCTTCCCTCCCCGCTACAGGAAGGGAGGCAATAACAAACTGATCAAGATCTTTCACCGAGAAGGGAAGTACGGCTTCTCAGAACCCCTGACTTTTGGCTCGGTGGTGGAACTCATCACCCATTACCGGCACGAGTCGCTCGCCCAGTACAACGCCAAGCTGGACACCAGGCTGCTTTACCCCATCTCCAAGTACCAGCAGGTGAGGCCTGTGCCGCAGGGACGCAGCTGGCCAGCACAGCCTGAACCAGGGGCATTTGCTCGTCCGTCCCTGGTCCTTTGGTAGATGACAATGTCCCACCCCTTCCTCCATGCTGGGACATTGCTTTGTGGGGTGACAAAATCCTGCAGGGCTGGTGGGGTTCTGTGGGACCAGCCGCCTTGCAGAGGGGCTGCTGTAGGGCAGGGGCCGGTCCTGACTGAGGCTGTGCGTGTTACAGGACCAAGTGGTGAAAGAGGACAGCGTGGAAGCCGTCGGGGAGCAGCTGAAGGTCTATCACCAGCAGTACCAGGACAAGAGCTGGGAGTACGACCTGCTGTATGAGGAGTACACACGCACTTCCCAGGTATGCAGGCACTGCCTTCCCCGTGGGCTGCCCTCACATCCCCTGATCGCTGACAGCCGCACCGCTGTGCACCGAGGAGAGCAGAGGTTGGGCACCTGCTGCCCTGTTTGTCTGCTGCTGGGCTTGAGGGCACTTCCCAGAGAATGGGCTTTGAAGAGGGGGGTATTTTGGCTGCAGCAAGGACAGTGCTGCTTTGGGGAGAGGTAAAGAGGGGATGCGAATGGGCAGAAACCTGCCAAGATGCTCCCCCTCCTTCCTCAGCTCTCCCCTCCCCTCTCCTCAGGAGCTGCAGATGAAGAGGACGGCAATTGAGGCTTTCAACGAGACAATCAAGATCTTTGAGGAGCAGTGTCAGACGCAGGAGAAATGCAGCAAGGAGTACATCGAGCGCTTCCGACGGGAGGGCAACGAGAAGGAGGTGCAACGGTGAGGACAGGGAGTGCTGGTGACTGGCCCTGCCTGGGGAAGGGCCCTGGGGGCTGCAAGATCATCCTGGCCCAGCACAGAGCTGAGGCATGCGCAATCCTCGTCTCTCCAGCAGTGTGCTGCGGGCTGGAGTTGGCAGGCTGCCTCCTCTGCCTCCTCCACTCTGGCTCACAGCCTAAACCCCCCCCTTTTTTTTCTCCCAGGATCCTCATGAACTCGGAGAAGCTCAAGTCTCGCATCACAGAAATCCACGACAGCAAAATGAAGCTGGAACAGGACCTGAAGAAACAAGCCTCGGAGAACCGGGAGATCGACAAGCGCATGAACAGCCTCAAGCCAGACCTCATGCAGCTACGCAAACTGCGGGACCAGTATTTGGTGTACGTAGTGCCTGCCCCCACAGAGGGCTCTGCTACCCCTCCAGCCCAGCCCGGGAGCAATCCAGCTGGCTCCTTGAGGGTTTTGGGGCTTGTTGAACCAGATTGTGGACTGCTCCGTGCAGGAGCGAGCCCTGCAGCGTGCAGCCTTGGGGCACGGCAGTCCCTCAAAGGGGGTGGCGGCTGCCCTCTGGTGATGCCTGCACAAGTGGTGTCTGGCCTGGATGCTGCATGGCGGGCACCCTGCATGGCGGGCACCCTGCATGGCGGGCACACCGCCTGCGCTGAGCTCTGCCTCTCCTTCCCCAGGTGGCTGACGCAGAAAGGTGCCCGACAGAAGAAAATCAACGAGTGGTTGGGCATCAAGAACGAGACGGAGGAGTGAGTGTCCCCGTTTGCCTATTGTGGGATGTGGGGAGGCTGAGGGAGCGCAGGCTGCGCAGCTGGTTCTGCCTGCCCCGGGGTTGTGGGCAAGTCCCATCTCCCTGCCTGGGAGCTGAGGATATCTTCCCTGCCAGAAGGGGTGACAGCAGCTAGCAGTGGGAAGGGAGATGTGGGGGCCATGCACCCAAACTGAGGGAGTCTGACCCCTGCCTGTGCTCGACTGCAGCCAGTACTCCATGATGGATGATGAGGAGGAGCTGCCCCACCACGAGGAACGAACGTGGTACGTGGGGAAGATCAACCGCTTGCAGGCAGAAGAGATGCTGTGCGGCAAGCGGGACGGCACCTTCCTGATCCGCGAGAGCAGCCAGAAGGGATGCTACGCCTGCTCCGTGGTGTGAGTACCATGGTGGGACGGGGCTGGCATGGGCTTGTGCTTTCGCATCGCTCTGCCCTTCTCTCGCCAGATGCTGGAGGCTGGTGGAGGCATCAGGCTGGGCTTTCCCGAGGTCTCCCATCTGCCTTGGCTCCTCCTGCCAGGGCCAGGTGTATCTTTGGGCTGCTTCGGTGACACCCGGTTGTGCTCTGCTGTCCCCATCCCTTGCGGGGCTCCTTGGCGTGCCACTGACCCTCGCTCCCTTGTCTCCCTGGCAGGGTGGACGGTGACACCAAGCACTGCGTGATCTACAAAATACGTGTTTGCTGAACCCTACAACCTCTACGCTTCCCTCAAGGACCTGGTCTTGCACTACAAGCACACGTCCCTGGTGCAGCACAATGACTCCCTGAATGTCACGCTGGCTCACCCGGTCCTTTCCCAGCCACCAGCCAGATGAGCAGCCCATGCACAACACAACAGCTGCCTTCAGCTTCTCCCCAGGGCGCTGCTTTCTGGCTCTGGACTCTTGCACCCTGTATAGTCGAGTCTCTGTGCTCCTGCCCCTCCAGAGCCTCTGAGATGTCTGTGACCGTTCCTGATGTCCCTTTTGGTCAGTAGCTGGCTGATGGGACAGAAAGGCTGGGCTGTTGATTCCCAGTGGGCTCCAGCCTCTGGGAGGTGGGATCCAGTTGCGATTGAATTGCTGGGGGTGAGCACGGCCCCCTCCCCTTCCCCGATACGCAGGTCAGACCCCCTTCTTGCTGGCAGGTCACCCCGCTACACATCACTGTAGAGCTAGGTACCCCATTCCTCGGCACACCCCGGCCGAGCGGCCGCGAGCGCTGCTGTGACCGAGGGGCTCCCTGCCTGGGTGCCGGAGGAGGCAGAGGAGGAGGCTCCCCTGAACGGTTGAGCGTGTGCATCCTCCGCTCGCTTCCCTCGGTGATCTTGCAGGCTGCGGTGGTGTCTGGTACGAGAGGGGTGCTGCTTTTCTGTGCAGAGACTTATTTAGAAAGGAGAAACCCCATCCTCCGTGGGCCTTCTCAGCCGAAGTCTTTGCTCCGTGCCGTGCCCCACCTCACCGTCTTGTTCCCTAGTGTCGTACCCACGTCTTGAGAGTTGCTGTCTGGGGAGGGAGGATCCGATTAGCGATGAATCTCTCGCCTTAGTTGTGCCAACTAAGCTGTGAAATCCATGTTGGTACCCGTGTTTTTCCCGGCAGAATCTATGGGATGCACAGCTCGTTGTTTTCCGGCTGTCTTCGGTGAATCTCTGCAAACGTAACCCGTTGAAGCTAACTGTAGCTCTGTAAATATGGTTCTTTTCGTAATCCGCTGCTTACCTAGTACTGGTGTTTGCTGAACTCCCACTACGATATGCAAGCGCGCGGGCAGCAGCCGGCCAGGCTGTTGCAGACTCGGGTCCTGCCAGCTGAAGCAGGCGGGGGCCGGAGTCGGACGCACACTACGAGCCCTACGCAAAATGAAGGACCTCTCTGCTGCAGGAGGACGGTATCTCCGCTGGGCCAAGGGCCTTAGCGCATAGAAATGTATATGCATGATGTCGAACTATGTATGCAAAGCACTTATAATCATGAGTACTGTATGGGGACTTGGGGTGAAAGAGCTGGGAGTTGCTGTAGTGCTGCCCATCATAGCCGGCTGGCGCGGGCAGGGATTTGTTGTGTCGGGAGTTCAACGGAGGTGTCCCTGGAAGAGCTTTAAAAGCCGGACCTGGGCTGAGAGTTGAGGCCCTGGTGGCATTTGCTTTATTGGGTTATCCTGTCTGCCTGGCTTGAAGAAAGCATTAATTGTCCTCTTGATTTGCAGGAGAGGCTCTTTCGTCCTCGGGACGGGCTGGTGGATGCTGTAGGCTTTGCCGCTTCTGTTTCGTGTTGCGACTCGGGTCCCGCCAGATCTGCGGGGAACTGTGTGCTCATGCTCTGCCTGCATCCTGTCCTCAACATGCCATCTGCCTTGGGGACCGCGCTGTCCCTCCTCCCCAGGTCAGCTCTGCTGCTCGCCTTGCTCCGGGCCAGTCTCCAGATGCTTTTAGATCTGGGATTGCTGGAGCAAACGTCCCATTCCCGTTGCTTGTGGCAGCTCTCCTGTGCTCGACTGTACAGACCCCCTTCTCTGCTCTGCATGCCCTCTCCGGGCGCTGAGCTGTGTTTTTTGGTTCTGATTTGTCGCTCTTTGGTGCTCTGAGGGTGCTGGGCAGCGGTGCTGTCCCTGACCCATTGCAGCTCGGGTGCCGAAGTGCCACGGAAGGGGCAGGCGATGGGTCGGGGGAGCTGTGGGGCGCACAGCCCAGGAGAGGCTGCCTTTGGCTTTGGGGATCACTTGGGAAAAGCTGTCGGGGATAATTAAGGGAATAGTTTGGGCTCGGACATGAGAGAGCTGAGAGCACGTGGGAATGGGGCAGGAAGGCCCGGTGCTCATAGCCCTCTCTGCGGAGGCCCCCCGAGGTCTGGGGGAGTCCAGGGGGGCTGTGCTAACACCCCAAAGCTTTTGCCAGGCTCCCACACCGGTCCTGGAGGCACATTTTCAGCCTGGGGACTCTGTGCTGGTCGTGCCCCGATCCTGCGCTCATCCCTGTGCTTCCAGCACATCCCTGCACCACGGGACAGGCTGCCGGCAGATGGGATCTTCCAGCCGCTCACCCCGCAGGGTCCGCATCCCCCCCCGACCCCGCAACCTGCGCTCGGGGCTGGATTTGCTCCCGGCTCATGCCAGGGCCTGCCGAGCATCTGGGAGTCTCAGCTTCAAGCCATCGCCTGTCAACACTTCGCTTGGTGCTTGCCCCGGCTCTGCTGGCTGGGGAAATTCCACCTTCTCTTGACAGCGTTGGGGTTTTTTTATCCTTTCGGCTGAATTTCTGCTGTTCTCCCCACGCTGTCCCTTCCTGCCGCCCAGCCGCAGCCTCTTCCTCCCCAGGAGCGTGGGCAGCTCAGCGTGAGCACAGGGGGGGCACGGTCACCCCTCAGCATCTTCCAGCACTGCCGTTCCATCTCACCGGCACCCATTGCCGTGGTCCATCCTCAACGGAGCTCTGCTGCGAGTCCTGTGTACAACGAGGAGGAAAATGCCCTTCCCCAGGGCTGCTTTTCCCTGACGGTGCTTGACTTGGCTCCCTGAAACGCAGCTTTTCCCTCGTCCCTCCCTGGGGTGGAAGCCCAAGCCCTGAGCTCCCCGCCTGCAGCGCAGCTCCCCCAGAATAAGCTAGTTGTGATTTGTCCTTTGCTGCTTTCGCTCGTGCTGTTCACGCCGCCGGCTGAACCCGGTAACGATGTGTTTCGAGGCCCTGGGCTGTGCTTTGCTGCTTGTGACCCCCCTCCCTACCCCGTGTCCCCCAACCGAGCCATGCACCCACTTCCCATGGGTGCAACGTGGCCGTTCCTGCTCCCGGGGGCCTTGTCCCTCCGTGTCCCGGCTCGGGATGCTCCATGCTCCCCCCCTGCCCTGTGTAACCCCCCCCGAGGGCTCTCGTGTCACCGGAGGCTTTGTGCTCGGAGAGGATGCGGCGACTGCGTGAGCCCTCCTGAGATTATTTTTTTTTTTAGTTCCTAGGTATATGCAATAAGAAATAACTTGCCACTTCAGCTGTTCGTTACCAGCAGTAGCGCTCTATGCTCTTTCTGTCGATGTTTACTAATGTAAACCCAGTATTTGTTACTGTAAGGATTTTTGTACGGTACTTCCAAAAAAACCCACAAAAACAAAACAACAACAACAACAAAGAAATACAAACAAAAAACATGAAACCAAAAGAATGTGAACATCAATCTCAATGGGGGAGCGGAGGCGGGAGGGTGTTGGGGCTGTGCCCCAGCTCCTGGGCTGGGTGCAGGATGTGACCCATCTCCTAGCTGGTGCTGGGCTGTGCCAGGACTCTGCTCCCTGGGGTCTGGCAGGGCTGGGGCCCGGGCGAGGAGGCGGCAGCTGAACCCGATGGGGCGAGAAATGGCCGGAAAGAGCGGCTATAAACAGCAGGGGAAGTACGAGGTTCCTCCGCGCTCAGCCCCAGAAATGAGCCCCAGGGGTATTTTGGGCAGCAACCCCCTGCCCACACCCGGAGCTGCCAGCCTGGGGGTGCTTCAGCACCTGCCCCCCCAGCCCAGGGGGGCTCCGCGGGGGCTCGGCAAACAGCGGCGAG